TCCGGTGGTATCGTATTACATAGCGGCCCCTGGTTGGACAGTTAATACGGGTACAAAGGTGAGCGAGTCTGTATCGTGGGTCCGAACAGGTATTCGGTGAAGGTTATTGCATTCGTGGTTTGAGTGGGCGATGCGAGGAAGTTGACCGCGATCTTGAGACCTCAGAAGAATTAAAGTGTATCTGTAGAGCCCGAGGTTGAGGTTCGTTCATCCGCGAGGGATTCCATTGGAAAGCGACAGAAGATCGCATAAGGGCCAGACTTTCATATCGATTCCCCAGCTTGAGGAGGTTTTAAGCGCAGAAATATTGAGGGGAGGCAGCCAGTGGGGATAGATAAAGAAAGATACACGTATCGCGAGACGGCACTTCGATTGGCGCCGACGGGATCTGACGGGATTTACTAGCGAAACCAGATATTCGACCAAGTTTGACTCGAGTTTCTGGGCCCGCTGACCAGTGCCACGTTCAAGCTCGACGATGCGGCAATCATGTAGCTTGAGGCGAGGGTAGTCCACAAAGATAGGATGGAATTGCAGTCGCCAATTGGGCAGGGCGTTTTTTCCAGGTGGCGGAGAAGAGGATGTTTGCTTTGGGCTTGTTACTTTTCCAGTACGCTGACAAAGATGCCGGCTTGATCTCGGCCTTTCAACCACGACACATCGAACAGGTTCCAGTGTCGACTCGAGAGAGGGGAATGTGAGGTAGGCTGGAAGATGATGAGAGGTTGGGTGAGGATCTGAAAGACCGTCGCGGTCAATCAGATGGTGCGCGGAGCAGATGAGGTGCAAAACCCACAAGCTGACGAAAACCGCGGCGAAGCATGCGACGCAAAGCCCAACCACGAAAGTCAGCTGAATATTAGGCGAGGCCGGCCATGTGGCGGGAGGCAATCTGCTCGAAGGCGCGGATGTAAGCCTCGTACGCAAGTGATTTCCAGCGCCCCGCTAAACGGACAATTTCAGGTGTAACACCCTTCGCGAGATAGAAGGAGGCGCCGCCGATCCGAAAAGAGTGGCCAAAGGCAGTACCCCAGCCCCATGCACTAAGAATCGCGTTAATTCGCCGAAGGGCTGCCGTCTTGACCATCGGCCTAACCTCGCCTCGCCGGTCTCGCCATGAGAAAAGGGGATCAGCTGGACCAGCGGGTACCACACGCGCGAGGTTCCGCATCGCCTCCATTGGGCACAAGTCACCCTGGGGGACGACGAACACCGATTGGACTTCACCGGCAAGAGCTGTTTTGGCGGAGGGAAGGTCCAAACGCGCGTATGGATTGTTGTCTAAGTCAAAGCCAAAAAAGACGTCCTTCCGTGTGAGATGTTTTGCGGGATCAAACGCCGGCCGGCTCGCGACAGAGACCTCTCCGAAACGCATCATTCCCCAGAACGCGCAGGTAGCCATCGCCCAGACACAAGCGTCGAAAGGGTCGTCGAGGTTGAGGACGAGGCGCAAGGCTCGCATCATCGCAAGAGTGATTGGTGGGCGCACCGGCCGCTTCCGCGGCTCGCCTTGGAGGTTGCGCAGCCCACGGAGGGACCACCCGATGCGGTCCAGGTCTGGCTCGCTCAGCGGAGGTGGCCACCCCTGCGCGATATGCCAGGCACGCACCGCCGATAGGTACTTGTTCACCGTGTCGATGGAAACCGGTTCGAATGGTGTGCCTCCAAGTACCGTCGGCGCAACAATTGTGGGATCTGTGGCGGCCCAAAGTGCGAATGAATGCAGGAGCTGGAACGATGCCGGTAACCTGGATGCCTCTGGTACGGAAAAGATGTCGCAGAAGAGGTGGAATTTCCGTAAACCGGAGCCGTAGCCACCAGTATCGCGGAGTGACGCGTGCGAAGCGGCGGCAGCTAGGAACTGTATAACAGGGTCATCGATCGTTGAAGGTGGAGGTGTGTTGACCCCGCGCCACTCGAAAATACGCTCGTCCGCTTTACAGCGAGGGCGCAGCACTGATGGGTTAAGATCGAAGAGGCCACGGCCGGATCGCTGCTGCGAGATCAGTCCGATGGTGTCCGCGACGGGGGCGGCTGCTGCAGGCATCACAATGGGACGAGTTTGTTGGCGAGGTGAGGTGGTAGCGACAGGGAGATCCGCGATGTCGCGGATGGGAAGCCCGCGAGGAAAGCCGCAACGTCTCCCCGTGAGAGGGCATCGGATACGTTGTCCCTGCTCGCGACGTGCTCGCACTTGACCCGAACTCGTGCACTTGCCTGGAGCGCATAAATCTGTTTGAGGATTTTGTTCGTCTCGCGGCTCTTGGAGCGCCCCTTGTTCGTGACCGCAACAACCCCAGAATTGTCCGAGCGGACCTGGGCGTACGTCAGATTAAAAGTTAGAGGTGTGAAGAGTCACACCGACCAAAAAGCGGGATCCCGCAGGTTCGAGTAGGCCCAGGGCTAATGCTATGCGCAAGCCGAGCTCTACAGCTACGGCCTCGGCCCAACCGATGTCGAATGCCATGCGCGGGCCGACTCGCACCCCAGTTGCCCAACGCCAGACTGCCCATCGGCCGGCTACCACAACTCCAATGCCAAAGGATGTACTCGCATCCCCCCACCACTGCAGATCTACAATGTCGGGTGGTGCGAGCGGCATGGAATTGGGCAGTTTGGATACAATGTATTCCACCCAGGATAAGTCGGCAGATAAGCCCGGAGGCGGGTGGAGATGTGCGCGCGGGGAAATGAAAGAGTTCGCAAACTCGGAGATAGATTTCAGGAATGGGCGGATTAAAGGGTATATGCACGAAATATGCACAAGCTTTCCATGCAGACTGGACGCATCGTGAGCTGAGAAACGACTGCCCTCGCGCTGCCAGCTGGACAAAAGATCGAGGATGGCAGCGCGCTTCTCCGTAGGCAGAGAAACGCAACGGGACCGCAAGTCCCAATCGAACCCGATGTACCGCTGAATCTCCGCAAACATGCGAGTCTTCGCGAGGCTCCATGGAACACCAAAGTCCCCTGTCAGAGCGATGAAATCCGACTCTGTCCAGGTCTGGTTGGGGAGCCGAATCGCCAGGAAGTCGTCGACCCACTTTCTGATAGGACCAAAGCCCGCCACTTCGTAAATTGCGACGAGCATGTCCGCGACGGAGCCAAAAACGCCAGCGCTCGATGACAGCCCAAACATGACTGCGCGGTCGACGTAAACAAGGCCATCCCAAAAGACGCAGAGGGCATGTTGTTGGTCCGGGCGCACTGGTGTCAGCCGATATGCTGCCGAAATGTCGAAGGTCGCCGCCACACAACCGAGTGGGAGGGATAGTATCAAAGCCGAGGTACTGTCGAATGTACCCCAAGCTGTCGGAAAATCGTCGGAGTTCACCCCTCCATTGACGGAAACAACTTCGGGGTCGTTGCGGGGGAATGACATGTCCTGCACCATGCGCAGGCTGTCGGAATGTGGTTTGGGTACCAGACCCAGCGGCGACGTCCGAAACGGGCCTATGGTCTCCTCCAGCTCTGCTGGGGTAAAGCCCTCGGAATAGCGACCAGCAGCCTGCTCGGCAGCAATGTAAGAAGAGATAAAGGCGGGGTCGACAGAAGAGGATTTGTGATTGTCGAAATAAATAAGTACGTGGGAGAAGCCCTCGGATTCCAACATCGGAGATAGAGAGTAAGTACGAGCGGAGAGGAGGAAGCTGCGATAGGCAGCGACGACGGTGGAACGGAAAGAATGACTCGGAGGGCTGTGCTAGGCTGTGCTCTCGCTCTACTGGACGCGGGGTGTCGGCTTGCTCCCGGCGGGCTAGGGATTAGCCGACACCAGAGCTCATACCCACTGTAGGATTGAGGAAACTTACCCTGCCACACAGTCCCATTGTTGTCAGGTCTCGGGGCGCCCGCAACGCCTGCAATTTTAATTTTTTGCCCATCTTCTCGTAATGATGTGCCGGCTCGGGCTTGGCCTGAAAGCCCCGGCTTCGGCCCCTAATTGAGGGCTCGCCAAAATCCCAGACCGAGTCGTGCCCCCAACGCCTGGCTCAGCTTTGGCTCGGCTTTGGTTCGAGTCGGGGCTTTGGGTGGTATTTTTTGGCAGAGTCCTGGGTGAATCGCCGCTGAAGAAGGCGCGACCCCACCGTCAACCGGTAAGAAGCAAAAAAAATTAGCTCTGAGATGATTTGTGACTGGTTTCCTTCGAGAGTTTCTCATAACTGGTGTATCTTGGTCCTTGACCACATAGCCGGCACGATTGTGTCGACAAGGTTGGGTAGTTGAACCGTGGGAACCTTCGGCATCAGTTTGCCGAAGGTTCAAAACCGGTCAGAAACAATAGATTTGTGTTGGAGATTCGGCACCTCAAGCAATTACCTGAGCCTTCATATCCTCTTATAACTACTCCCACTCAACCAGAAGCCAGGACTTTCGGGCTCGACCTTTGCTTCGAGGGGGGCCAGGCCGGACCAAGGTCCAAAACAGGCCCAAGCTAGCACATCACTACCTTCTCTCCCTGTAATTCTAATTTCCTGTCAGGCTGTGGAGGTTGAGGAAAGACCTGATGGTGATGGTTCACACCTAACTCTGTGGTGACCACTAGAAAGTGAGACTGAGAGTTCCCGGTTCGATTCTGGGTCAGGTTGTAAAAACTCTGTCTTGATGTTATATATTTTTCTTCTCACTCCTCTTTCATAATTCTGTTGAGTGCCTTGAGGCCAAGGAAACAGGCCAGGAAGACTTGATGGTGAATGGTTCACCCCTACTATCATCTCGGTCAGCCCTATGTAGAGAGTGGGAGTAAGTACCTGGTTCGACTCCGGGTCAGGTCCTTGAAGTGGAAGGTGATTTTTTTCCCTTTCTTGTATTCTGTTTCAGAATACAGGTACAGTTTGAAAAATTGCGAGTGAGCCAGGAAGTCCTGCTAGTCTTTGGTTCATTCGATCATGAATTTGAACTTGAGGGCAATTCTGCTAACAGATGTTGAGTCTGCTTTTGTTTCTTGTCATGTACACTCAAAATCCTGGGTATGTTGAAGGTAGGGAATAGAGCAGGAAGACCTGTTGGTGAATGGTTCACACCCACTTTGTTTTAAAAGTCCATGACTGGTTGAACAGTGGGAGGCCCTGGTTCAATTCCGGGCCAGGTCTTGGGATGCTGCAATGTCCATAACTTTTGCCCCTCTTCCTGCCTCAAAATTCTCTACGGTCCATTGAAGATGAGAAATGAGGTAGGGAGACCTGTTGATGAATGGTTCATGCCCATCTTTCATAGGAAACCTAGGACACGGATTTAAAATGGGAGTTCCCGGTTCAATTCCGGGTCAGGTCTTGTGTTCCGCCGCTCTTGTTTTTTGTCCACCTTCCCCACACAATTACTGTCCCTCTGTAGAGGATGAGAATTGAGGTAGGAAGACCTATTGGTGAATGGTTCACACCCATCTTTCTTAGAAAGTTAGACATGATGTCTGAGAAATGGGAGTCCCTGGTTTGATTCCGGATCAGGTCTTGCGATATGGTGGATATTGAATTATTTTTGCCCACCTTCCCCACGTAATCATCGTCTGTCTATTGAGGATGAGAAATGAGGTAGAAAGACTTTGTGGTGGATGGTTCACACCCACTTTGTTTTAGAAGTCCATGACTTGGTTGAACAGTGGGAGGGCCCGGTTCGATTCCGGGTCAGGTCATAGCAACTTTCGTGATGATCACAATTTTTTTCCCACCTTCCCCACGTAATTCTCGTCAGTCTGGTCACACTGAAAAATGAGGTAGGAAGAGCTGCTGGTGTATGGTTCACACCCACTCTCCATATGTTCTGCTGGGATCTGAGGCAGAAGTGGGAGTCCCTGGTTCGATTTCGGGGCAGGTGTTAGGAGGAAACTGTTGTCTTTTTCTCTTTCTCTTTCTTGTATTCCTATCCTCTGTTTCATACCATCCTCCTCCTCCTCCGTTTCAAGATACAGGTACATTTTGAGATTCCGGAGGAAGGCATGAAGCCCTGCTGGTCCAATTACAATAAAATGCTAAAGACAGCTTTTTGTGTCATGTACAACACTCCTGCCTGAAAATCCTGAATATGTTGAAGGCAGGGAATATATCAGGAAGACCTGTTGGTGGATGGTTCACACCCACTCTTCCTCAAGCACTGCCACAGGTTGAACGGTGGGAGTACCTGGTTCGATTCCGGGTCAGGTCTTAGGCTGCCTTGCTTTGACAATTTTTTTCGTATCGCTTGGGTCCTTCCAGCTCCAGCTTTCTGAATGTTGGGCAGTAAGGCAAGGAGACCTGATGGTGAATGTTTCACACCCATCTTCCTTACGAGTTGAACTGACCTGAATAGAAAATGGGAGTCTCCGGTTCAAATCCGGGTCAGGTTATGGATTTCCGCGTCCGCCCTTTTTGCCACCTTCCCCACGTAATTCTTGTCCATCTGTAGGGGATGAGAAATGAGCTAGGAAGACTTGTTGAATGGCTCACACCCATTCTTCTTTAGATATCGCATGTGAAGTGAAGTGGGAGTACCTGGTTCGATTCCGGGTCAGGTCTTCAGCAATGAATGCCAACATTTTTTGTCCCTCTTCTTGCCTCAAAATCCCGGATAAGTATGTTGACAGCAGGAAGACCTGATGGTGAACACCCACTTTTCTTGATAGGTTTCTTGCAAAGTAGAAGTGGGAGTCTCCGGTTAGGGCTGCCGCCCGTTACCGTCGCCACGGTTCGACGGGTGCCGTCAACGGGTGCCGTGCCCGTGCCGTGGGAGCTCTCCCGCGCCCAAAAAACGGCCGTCGAAACACGGCCGTCACGGCACGCCGACGGTACACGGGTCTATGGGCCCAATTTTCCCTTCAAATAATGCTCTACCATGCTGTGTTGGCCACCTTTGTGTATCTTCCACTCCCACAGGGGGCAAACACAGTGGCACTTGTCATAAGGGCATCGGACAGGCATCCGCTGTGTCCTCGCTGCGTCTTTGCTCGGTATTTGCCAATGGTGAGGTAATCCAGCTGTGATCAGTGCAGCAGTTCAATCCCTTGCACGACCACTATTTTCTTTATCACCAAAGCATGTCTGTAGCGGATTCTGCTACAAAGGAAATTGCCATATGGCTAAATGTTCTTTTTTCTGTGCAACAACAAGTTGTAGAAATTTGAATCACAGCAATCTTGGCTTGTGTACCATGTCTTAATACCTAGTTTCTCACACTGTATCCCGCATTTTGGCCCTGGCTGCATTTACAATGAGCTAGACTCTGGGATAATTGTTTGATTTACATTGAATGAAATTGCTTTGTGTTCTTGCTATTAATGCAAATCATTGAACACACACAAGGAGCATTAATGTCTGAGAAATGACTGGTCGGAGGCAAGGTAGGGGGTTGGTCAGACCTGGGCAATTGGGCGGGAAGCCGGATGCAAAGAGAATCCTTAGCATTTGCCTGGTGAATGTTACACGGGGCATTTTAGTGGCCACTGCGGTGAAGGAAATCTATCTTGAGACAGATTTTCGATGTAAGTAATTATACCGAGAGCAAGTCCCTTAAGAGGTAAAGTGACCACAGAATATTCGTGTTTGCCAACTCAACATTTATGCAAGTCGTAATACCTCCCGCATCTGAACACAAATTCAAATAGGCTCTAATGTATATTGAAAGCCGTGTATACAACAAGTCTCACATACTGTGGGGTCATTTTTTCATACTAGAAAATATATTTTGTGATTCCAAACACTCAAACAGAGAAAGAACAGTCGGAAGAAATGGTGTTCAGATCCGGAATTGAACTCCTGCACTGATCTCTGCTGTATTACCTAAGCAGTGGCAAGTACCAAGCAACGACGCAGCGAGGACGCAGCGGATGCCTGTCGGATGCCCTTATGACAAGTGCCGCCACTCTTGCCCCCTGTGTCCCGCTGACACTTACCTGCGTCCTGCAACCTACTGCTGAGGTATTTGACCTCAGCCGAGACTGCCGGAGGATCAATCCAAATTGGACCGGGCCAGAGATTTCAACCAAAGCAATTGTTTAGTGCGTGGATCTGGTTCATGCAGGTCCAGAAGCCCAGGGAATAACCTCTCAGGTGTTTCAGTATTATAATACAACATGTAGGGCTGAAATTATTGTCAAACAGAGCACTGAAAACAAGTTGAACACCGTCGACCGTTGACACGGCCGCGACGGCCGTCCCGTTGACCGTCCCGTCCTGTTGGAGTTCAAAACTCCGAATTGACGGGCCGTGAATCGACGGCCGTGCCCGTCACGGCACGGGTGGCAGCCCTATCTCCGGTTCGATTCCGGGTCAGGTCATGGCAAGGGTTCCAGGATGCTAACACTTTTTGTCCATCTTCTTCTCCAGGAATTGTTGTCAGTATGTTGAGGATGAGGAATGAGGGAGGAAGACCTGATGGTGGATGGTCCACACCCACTCTTCTTCAAGCACTCCTGCGGCAGTAGAAAATGGGAGTCCCCGGTTTGATTCCAGGTCAGGTCTTGCTATGTGCTCGATATTCTTTCATTTTTGTCTACCTTCTTACTCAGAAATTGTTGTCTGCCTGTAGAGGATGAGGAATGAGGCAGGAAAACCTGATGGTGAATGGTTCACACCCATCTTTCATAAAACGAGTGTAGGGTGCAATCACGATTCGATTCCAATCTTATCGCGACAACGCCTATCTCGGAGGCGCCTAATGAAGCGCCCACAGATGAGATAACGAAGGGATTAGATATGGACTTAGATTAGATAGTTGAACACCTGGCAAACACATGGTAAAAGAACATTGCAGAACATTCCGGCACTACATGTTGCAGCAGGATGGTTTACGCACCGAGTACATACACGATTCATATTCACACGGTTCACAGAACAGTATAAGTAGAGTAGCTAGTTTCTTGTATTCCTTAGTCTTTTATTCGATTCATTTCTCGAAGTCCTGCGCATCTCACTCCCCAATCCGCTATCTTTGTATAGTCGGACGAGATAAGGCTTTGATTGTGACATAATAAAAGACTCCCCTTCGTACCACCCGTACCGTCATACCTCGCTCTCACCCCACTTCACCTTACCACCACCACGCACTATTTGCGTAAGCATTACCATTTCACCATCTCGCGCGCTCGCGCACTCGTTCCAAACCTCCTTTCCCTTTCCTCCATTTCCGACAACCCGTATCGGACCACTATAACAGACAGACGCTGTACCACGGGAAACGTTGAGTCCGTCCCAAGTACAATAGCAGTCGTAGGGGTACTGGGCAGATCCTCGGAGAGGCCCATCCCGCTATCGCCGGGGGTGTTGTAGAAGACCCGGGATAGTTCTGTTCGCAAAAGACCGATACAGACCCCACCAACCGCTTAGTGCGGAAGAAGACCAGTTGCGCTGTTCCGCGCACCCTCTAGCACCGGCTCTTCGGAGTCATCATCGTCGTCGTCGTCTTCCTCCGCGCACCCACCACCTCCTCCTCCTCACGGCGTACCCACACATCTACCGTCTCTTCCCTTGATACTCCCCACACCTACTGCGCCATCCACTTCACCGTCCCCCGCCACACACCTTTACCACTCGTTCCCGACCCTCACCGACATGTCTCACCACGCCGCATCCCAGGGGCCAAGCCGTGCCCCATCCCCTGCGCCTAGTGTGCAGATGAACGACCCCGAACCCCTTGCTCCCACGCCGAGAATCTCATCCTCTCGGATCACCCTCGCCTCTCTCCCGCCGCACTTTGACGGGAACGACAAGTCCAAGTGGGACACTTGGAAAGATGCGCTCGGAAATTACATCTGGGCATACGAAGCGGAGTTTCGCACTTCGAAGACAAAAATTGCCTTCACGATTTCGCTGCTCGGCAGCAAGGACGGCGCGCCCAGCCCAGCTTCCAACTGGGTCCGTAATTGGCGCAAGCGAGTGCTCGACGAGGACGACGAGCTACCGGAAGGATATTCCTTCAAGGGTTTTTTGGACGACCTTGGCAGGACGTTCAGGGACCACAATGTGCGCCAGACAGCGTACATTCGCCTTAGCACCACGAGGCAAGGGAAGACCGCCTTGGCGGACTTCATCCAGGCGTTCGAGTTGAACGCAGAGGAGGCGGGATACGACCCGCACGACGACTTGCACGGGCACCACAACCAGTTCCTGTGCGAGAACCTAGA